CGGAAGTCTACCACCAGCTCCTTGGTTTTACTGGCATTGATCTAGAGGTAGTTCAGCTGGCACCAGTCTACAAAGTCTTGAGTCAGTCCTCTGTACTCCTTGTCGTCCCCATCAGTAATGAGGCCGACTATTGCAGAGTCATCAGAGATGATTAGCGGTAATAAAAGCCGAGGGAGGTCAACAGTGATCACAACCTTTTTTTTTTTAAAGCTTTTTGAGATTAAATAGAAGAAAATACAAAACATTAAACATGTCAACAACACAAAAGCCATATTTAACGCAGACTACTTTAGGCCCAGAAGCAGGATTCGTCACGTCATCACTTAAAGACCAGATCGGCTCAGGCTGTTGGTCGACTTCCCATGATGCTCTGCTTTCTTCTCCACTCCCCTCTTTTCACTCCTGATGCTTTTATATGTCAGTACTGCTTGTCCTTAACTTTTGTCTTCTCTCTCTGTAGTTCGTGTTTTGTTCTTGTCTCTCTGAACTCATCTCTTCTCTTTCCCCTCACCCTCCTCCTGGAGCCTGTTTTCACTGGGAGGATCTTTGTGTCAAAGGGAGTTCTTCCCACCATCACCAAGTGCTGCTCACAGTGGATTGTCTGATGGTTGGGGCTTTCTCTCTAATATTGGAGGCTGTTACCTTACACTGTTAAACAGCTTCAGATGACTGTTGATGTCTGTTGGGAATTGTCACTTATAAATAAAGTTACATTGAATGGATGTATGTTATTGTATGTGACAAAGAGAAAATGATTGTTGGCAGATGGATTGTTCTTTTGTGTGTCTGCAGTCTGTCAGGCTGTCTGATCACAGAGGAAGGCTGTACTTCTCTGGCCTCAACTCTGAGATGCAACCCCTCCCATCTGAGAGAGCTGGACCTGAGCTACAATCATCCAGGAGACTCAGGAATGAGGCTGCTGTCGGCTGGACTGAAGGATCCAGGCTGGAGACTGGACACTCTCAGGTATGGAGAGAATGTCTGATAGAGGAGGAAGAGCTGGAAACTGTGTCCATCACTCACTTCCTGTTTTTTTCCTGCAGATGAGACATGAACAATCACACATGCAGGAATATTTTCAGGGACAGACACACTAGTCTAGCTGCATAGTACATGGATATTTATGTCAGGGGTCTCCAAGGAGTGTGTTTGCAGGAACGTTAATGATAACTGATAAGTCATGTTGAGAGTTTCATTAAAAGTAGACCTACAGTTAGGTCCATAAATATTTGGACAGAGACAACATTTTATAACTTTAGATACACTTTATTAGGCCACAGGTGTACTGTACCTGAGATAGTGGCCGCTGTGTACCTAATAAAGTGTCAGCCATGTGTATGTTTCCAATGCTGTATGTCCACAGTCACAGTGAGAGTCAGTAACACTGACAGGAGGATGAAACAAGGCCGTGAGTCATTTCAGTCTGAGTGTGTGACAAAGAGGTAGACAGGAGCAGCTAACATTTTGAAATGGCAGCTTAAATCCTGGAAACTCTAATAAGCTAATGCTGCTAAGCTCATGCTGTTTATGGGCCGTGATGTGAAGGCTAATTCACATCAAATTAGCATTAGCTACTGTTTAGCATTTACATTAGCTACTCACATTCTTAAATTTGAAGGGAAAAAATGTTAGTATTAAATTAAAATCCGAATTTTATTTGTCACACACACAACCATACAAAGTATGACATGAGGTGAAATGCTTGTAGCTGCGCAATGCCTGACCATTAAATGACAGTGGTTTTACAGTATTTACAATTTACTGGTTATTACAAAATGTACAGATTTAACTTAGAAATTTACAGTAAAAATCTGGAAATAGCATAAAGAGATCATAAATTATAGGAAGTGTACGTGAAGCAAAACCAGAGTGCATGTGGTGATGTGATGTGTGTGAGAGTCCAGTCTTATAGTGATGTGA